TCAAACGATAGAAATTTGATAGAAATTGAGCCTATTATATGTGTGTTTCTGAATTTAATTACAGAAGAAGTTGTGTAGGAGAAATGTGAAAGTTAAATATGAAAATGCTAGTTACATGTACAGTAACTGAGCAACAACAGTGTTATAGAAAAGTTAAAACATTAAACTGTAGGCATGAAGAAAGTAGATCAAAACATATGCTGAAGATGTGTTTATATACTGCATAATTTATATTTACATGTCAAAAATTCTCATCTACAGTCTGTTACTAGATATAGCTTTTGTAATTATTGTGTCCTCATTTTTGTACCATTTTTATGCATAATAGTTGTAATCTGCTTTAAGAGTGATTAAATAATTCTTAAGGTTCATTTTTGATTGGCATTATTAAAAAAAAATTTGCATTACTGTCAGTAAATATTAAGTATAAGATGTCGTTATTATGCATATACACACATACAGTGTATTTGGTGTTAAATCTCAATTTCAGAGCTGTTTGTAAACAGCTTAATCCAAAGTTATTTACATCTTTATTTTTATATCCTACTGTATAGAATAAATTTGTTAATCCAAAACCTTTGATAAAGATAGAGCTCAGAAACCCAAATTCTGAGAACCTCAATATTAGAAACATATAAAATTTTATGCCATTGATTATGAGAAATTTTATAGACTATTAATAAAGCCATTCATTCAGGAGATTTTGATACACATGTTTAATGGTTAAGCATTTGAAAAATATCATCTTAAGAATTGATTTCAAGTTATTGTACAATATAAAGATTCATAGAATTCTGGTAATTTCAGTTACAATAATATTTTTTCTGGTATAAAGTATAACTCATTTAAATGTGTTTGATTATGCATTTCACATTAGTGATATATTTTACTTTTTCTTACAGTGATTCTAATGGAGTTAAAATTGATTGTAGTATTTTACTTATGCTTGGAACTGCTGAATATTCAGATCGTTTACAAAGTAACCAAACCTGTTTATCGTCTGATAATAATACAGAGTATTGTCTCATCCCACCAAAACTAGTTGTGGAGAAGAAAAGCTTGGAGCATGGTATACTTTTATTAAATTGTACATCCATTATCTAAAGTTAAGTTCATGTGAAGTTTGTCATCAATGATGATGTTTAGTTAAAGCAGCTATAGAATATTGAGTAATCCTGGTCCCTATTAAGTAACCATGTTAATAGATGTTTGGATAACAACTGTTGCTGCCAAAATGTTTCTCTCTTAATTTTTAAACATGGTTTTTAACATAATTTTATTTTATGGGTGTGTGTGTGTGTACATTTTGTAAATAAATTATTTTACCTGATCTCTCAACAGTTTTTGTAGAAATTAAATATATTTATTAAATATAATTAGTAGGTTTAGTGTTTTTATGAACTTACTATGAATACACACAATTTATTTTACTTGAAAATTCTACATGTTAACATGATTTGTCTATAAAAGCTCAGCACAGTAGTCAACTATACATACAACTTGTGGTGAAAGATATTTCTTTTAACACACAATATCTGCAATTTTCTTCTAAGTGCCAAATATTTGTTTGTAGACTATGCTCTGATTCGTAAGAGCTGGATCAAATTGTTTGAAAATGCTATGAATCAAGATAAATTTAATTCTCTTGAGAAATTTTAGAGAGGTATAATAGTATTCATCAAGATACATTTAAGTCTATGGAGAAATTTAGAGGTATAATAGTATTAATAACCTTATAATAT